TCCTAAAGGAGATTTTAACTTTTACCAAAGCAATTGTTTTGTAAGATACTTGTACTTTTACTCAAGTATCACTTTGTGGTACTTTATACAACACTGGTATTTTGTTTGTTTTCACCAGTTTATACGGATGATGTGTTTTATTGTGAAAATGTTTACCGGAAGTTACACATGCTTACTTCCTTTTCTTGATTAATGACCACTTGTTGAGCGCAGAGCGTTCAAGACTAGAGGAAACCGTAGAGAGACGCTGTGTTTTGTGAGGGACACGTCTGTAGCGAGGAGCATCTTATTAATGAAAACTATGCTTTTTGTTTAAATCGAACATATTGCCAAGTTTTCTTTTTTTTTTTAAGWGAGAGTTCGGAGTTGAGAGAAACCCCGCCCCTCAGGCACAGCTGCTTTATCCGAGCTGAAAACCTTGGGAGGAAGAAGAGCTCATCATGTCTGGCGAAGAGGCTCCGACCCAGCAGCGGGAAGAACCCGAGCAGCAGGTGAAGAAGGCCGAAGAGCCGAAGCCTGAGCCGGAGAGCCCCGCCGCCGTGAAGCCGGAGGAGAAGATGGAGGAGGAGGAGGAGAAAGCCCTCTCCTCCCGGGCTCTGGTGCTGACCGGATACGGGGGCTACGAGAAAATCAAACTGCAGGTGAAGACCATGAAGGCGCCTCAGCTGCGGTCCGGAGAGGTGCTGGTTCGGGTCAAGGCGTGCGGGCTGAACTTCGCCGAGCTGCTGGGCAAACAGGGGCTGTACGAGCTGCTGCCCGCCCCGCCCGTCATCATGGGCATGGAGGGCTCCGGGGTCGTGGAGGCGGCGGCGGAGGACGTGAAGGACAGGAAAGTGAGTACATGCTGCATACATCCACAGAAAACCAGCTCAGGTCTGCAGCTAACAAGATTTTAAAAAATATTACCCTCTGGTTCAGTGTTTCCCAAAGTTGGGGTCGGGACCCAAAGTGGGGTCCCGAAACATCAAGGTGGGGTCCTGAAAAGATTTTCGGAATTAATTACATTTTTGTTTTAGTTGTTACAAAGGAGTGAGGTTAGTGTATTTAAAAAGGATAAATGTAGTATAAAATATATTGTTACTATGCCCATGTTTACTGTAGTTGACCTGATACAAATGTTTATCATCCAAAAATAGTTGGGGGCACAGGTCTCTGCTACTGTTATTTTGTGGGTCAAAAGCTGAAAAGTTTGGGAACCACTGCACTTTGGTTCCCAAAGTTGGACATGGGACCCAATTATGGGTCATGAAGCACCTTGGATAATCTCCAGAAATCAATTTAAAGTGTATCTTACCCCCCTGTGAAAAGGTAACAACGCCTCAAGGCGAAATTTGAAAAATGCATCAAAGTGGGTAGTGGGGGGGTGGGGTTAGAGAGCGGAGTATGGCAAGCCATTGGGGTCATAAATCGGGCGTATATTTACGTGCAAATCCGAACACGCGATGCCGTAAATAACGTGCGAACGCGCGGTGGCGTTTTCTAACCTAACCCACCGCGCGTTCGCACGTTATTTACGTCACCGCGCGTTAGGATTTACACGTAAATATACGCCCGATTTATGGCCCCAACGGCTTGCAATAGCGGAGGTGTGGCCAGGACGAGAGAACGCGACAGCCTAGGGTGAGCTGTCCGCCTCACAGGACAGAGGAGGAGGAGCGCTCCGCTACAGCCTGACAGAAAAATAAATAAATGCATACAGCTGCAGCTGCTCTCAAGATCACTAGTTTAAATCAGGAATAAACGTGTTTGGTCTTGTTTGACTGAAGTTCGGTC